CATGTTTTGGGGATGATATGTCAGTATCCAAGTGACTTGATTTTTACGATCATTCTTTTTCGTCTTCAGTTTTAGTGCATTATTATGACTGATCTTTATGGCGATTTTGCGAGCTGAGTTGATTAAGACTGGAATATAATTCTTGATCTTTAAAAAAAAAACTGATATTTCGTCAGCTTTCTGATCAAAATCAGAGTCTGAATTGCATAAACGACGTAGGTGGCGAAACTGTGATTTTGGAATGGGATTTTTAGTGGATGTAGGATGGCTGTAGGTGTAATCGAGGAAAGAGTAAGAGTCGGTAGGTTTATAACAGATGGACGTTGAAACAGTATTCTCTGCAGTTAAGGATGTTGTGTTCTATGTAGCCTACAAACAGATCGGCGAATGATGGTCCCATCTTGGCACCCATGGCTACACCTTTTTTTTTTTTTGGTAATATGAATCATTGATAGAAAAGGCGTTCAATGTCAAAACTAGTTCGACTAGTCTTATAGTCTTGTCGCTGATTTAGTGATTTAGGTAGAACTTTAAATCTTCAAGACCTTCACCATGCGGTTAAACAGTATATAAGGATTTGATGTCCATTGTGAATAGTAATAGGTTAGGAGTAGTTAGATGTATTTCGTTTAATACTTGAAGAGCCTCGGTGGTATTTGTGATATAGGTTGGAAGAGTACGTACCAAAGGTTTCATGATTCCGTTTAAAAACTAGAGATCAACTCTGTAAGGCAATTACATTTTGAAACTATAGGTCTCCCAGCGTTTCCAGGCTTGTGTACTTTAGGTAGGATGGAAAACAAAGATGTTCCTGGTTCTTCTTTAATTAAGTCTCGCGCATCTAATGGGAGTTCTTCTGCATCTAATAAATTGTTTGTGATCTCCTTTACAGTATTTTGGTATTCTCTAAGATGACCTGTTTGCAGTTTAAAATAGTATTCACCATTATAGAGTTGTTGTTCTGCCTCCACTATATATAGTCTTTGCGCCATACGACTATAGTAACACCTTTGTCCGCAGGTTTGATGACGATGTCATGTCTATCTTTATGTTCTTCGATGGGTGTTTTCTCATCTATAAAACGTGTGTTTATTAGAGACATCTAAGTTGTTGATTTCTTTTTGACACTTGTCGATGAAATACTCAAAAGCCGGAAATTTTCCTTGGTTAGGTGTTCATGTGCTCTTGTGTCTTTCGAATGAAATGAAAGGACTTTAATTAGAGGAAAGAATATGACTGTTGTCGTCGGATGGATTTTGGTTATTGTCAACAGAGCTATTGTTGCTGAAGTAGGTTCGTAAGCGTAAACGATGAAAAAATTGGCCGACATCTCTTTTGATGCTGAAATCATCAGCATGAGAGCGTGTAGGAACAAATTTATGGCCTTTTTCTCAAAACTAATCTATGAACATCTGATAGTGGAAGGTCAGGAGAGATGGTGATGACCTGATTGGATGAAGTTTTTGTGCGATCAATGTTCCTTTCGGCTTGAGGCTTACTGTTGTTGATATGGTCTGTTTAAACTTCGTGGGTTAACTTGTTAGATATTTGTACAGGGAAGCAAATTACGCTAGGAGACTTGTATATGTAAGACACAACGATTTGTAAGCATAATGAAAAAAAAATAATACATACTACATGTTTTGACAGAAGACAGACTAATGCTCTGTCGAAACGTGTAGTATGTATTATTTTTTTTCCATTATGATTACAAGTCGTAGTGTTTTATATATACAAGACAACTGGTTAGATTTTTGTTCGATATTATCTCGAATAGGGTTTGTTAGTTGTGGATGCAGCCCACAGACAGTATAAGAATGATTCTTAATGTCTTAAAAGCTTTTTGACTTATGGGATTTTACGTTATTTAATGTGATAAGATGCTTTTCGTTTATTTCACGGATTTTCATGTGTATTGAGCGTGCTGTCTCTTCATCAGTCATTTCATACAGACGACAGCGTTGATAGCAAAGTTTCTGAGATGCAAAATCGCCCTGTTGGAAGAAAGAGTGAAAGCAAACACGTATTAAGTTTTTGGAACACTGGGTGAGTCTCTTGGTGACAAGACTAGAAAGTGATGATTAAACACGGATAAATGATATTTTAGTCGAAACCATTAGAAATAATACGATTGCGTAAACAAATAATTAAAAAAAAATGATGTTTTCGACAAAGTGGTGCGAAAAAGCTTAGATGAACTCCATAATTTTATAAATTTCGTTTAGAGCTATCACCCAGCCCTTCAGTACACAAGCAACGTTTCAAACCATTCAGTAAACTTCCTCGATTTCAGTTTAACCTTAACTACAGAGAATACTGTTTCAACGCACATATATTATAAACCTACCGACTCTTACTCTTTCCTCGATTACACCTACAGCCATCCTACATCCACTAAAAATTCCATTCCAAAATCACAGTTTCGCCACTTACGTCGTTTATGCAATTCAGACTCCGATTTTGACGAGAAAGCTGACGAAATATCAGTTTTTTTTTAAGGATCAAGAATTATATTCCAGTCTTAATCAACTCAGCTCGCAAAATCGCCATAAAGATCAGTCATAATAATGCACTACAACTGAAGACGAAAAAGAATGATCGTAAAAATCAAATCACTTGGATACTGACATATCATCCCCAAAACATAACAATAAATTAGGCACTTGGATGTACAGGTGAACAACTGTTTGATTGTATATGTGGACTTGGGTCCTAATAGAGAAGAACTGGTGTTGATGTAACGGCATGAGTACAGCCACGTGTACCACACTAAAGATGGGAGATTTCTTCTGGTGTCTTCAAACGTGTACTAACTAATAAATCCTTTACGGGTTTTTTGTTTTTTTTCGTGTCGGTACGAAATAATAGGTTTATCCTTAAATGTTCTCCCAACGTTTTGTCGTTTTGGAGTATCCCAGAATTGTTTTTGATCATCTTAGAAACCTGCCCCACTTGTTTATATTATAGACAACTGTACGTAGGAGAAACAGGTCGGATGTTGTCTGAATGAGCACGTGAGCACATCCATAACATCCAGAATTATGATTCTGACAAACCTGTGGCTAAACATTTCAATAATAATGATCACAACATTAGACACTTCACAATCCTGGCCCTCCGTCATTCATCGACAGTCAAGTAAAAGAGATAACAAGATGAATATTAACTCATATATCGGCTTGGTACCATTCACCCGAAGGGAATAAACGAAATATTTTCTTTTCTGTAACTCTACCTATGCTGGTGAGTGTGTGCGCACGCGCGTATAAACATAAGCGAACTCATAAAGATTTTAGGCACGAGTTAATTTTTATCTCTTCCTTGCACACACACACATATATTCTTCACCTTTAATACACTAATTAATATTTTATCTTATTATGTATTTTTGTTTGACCTCAGAGCACTGGCTATGTTTCGAACTTTACAAATGTAATATTGTTGCTCTGCAACAGTGCAAAACACCTAATTTACCTGTTAATATTGTTGCGTCAGCGAGGTCACGTGACTAGTATCACGCCACGCCCTTCTCGAACCTTCGTGAATTATCGGGAGACTACTAGATTGGGGGTAGTCTGGTATATATAAGAGGGTCACAACGTGACGAGGTAATGAGTATATGAATGTATGCGAACAGAATATTGTTGCCCTCGTGAGACGTGTAGCTTTGCGCGAAATTAAAAAACAAACAAACAAATTTTAATCACTTTAATGATATATATTATCCTATTGTAAAAACATTGTTTTGCCAGTGTTTCACGTGTATGCTACATTAGATTAGTTTCATGATGTTAATTTCGAACGCTCTATGTTTGATAATCCTTGTATTATCAAACATTCTATTCCATTACAATTTCAAATCACCAGAGGAAGTGTGTCCCAACACGAAACGTTGTGAATATTAAAACGTCTATTTCGCATTTACCATGTTTCGTGGTATGAATTTTTTTCCATTTTTTTGTCAACTGTATAAGATTTCCAAGTACGTCATTAAATTTCACAAGTATCTGATTGCTATTAAAATTGTTTACATGACCAATTAGATAAATGCTTTCTCGTGACAGATCTGTTTCGTAATATGACGTCACACGTGTAGGCGGGGTTTTTTGCTAGAGCACATAAATGTTAGAATTGTAACATGACAGTTGTAGGCTTATTCATTTTAAAAGATTGTAAAACAGGGTTACCCGTAGTTTATCGGGCGTATGGATAAGGCTGAAGGTTTGTTCTGACGTACCTAGAACAGACTGTAAACCCATTGGGACAAAAAACAGTATTTGTATTTTTTTAATTATTGATAAAAAATAATGGAAGAAGGTTTAATTCCGATGATGCTTGTTACAGCTAATGTTGGATCTATATTTGAAGATGTAAGTAGGCCTAAGCCTAACCTAAAACAAAAAGGTTAAATAAAAGTGTAAGACTAGGAGTGGGAGATTAACGTTAACTTAAAGTTTAACTTAGTTTAAGGTCTCTAAATTTTAAGTACGATATTATATGTGTAGTATTACTATTAAACAAAAGTAAAGCGAAACTAATGAAGTAAAAAAAGGTTCAGCTTTCAGTGTAACTAACAAAGCCGCTATTATAATTTATATACCATTTGCTTAAACTAAAGTTAAAAAGAATAAAAGTTTATTAAAACCTGTTTTTAAATTTAATTGCTTTAACTCGCATTTACAAGTTGAGGAGTTAAAAGTTAAATTTCATATGCAACAACGTTTTAATCTTTAAGTTAGAACTTAAACTAAAGAGACTTGAATTTAAAAGTTAAAGTTAGCATTTCTAAGCTGGGGTGGACCATTTATATTTTATTTGTTTAGATATTAACTTGTTCATAAGTTTCAAGAAAAATCCCTTTAAAATGCATTTAAAAGATTTCATTTATTGAAGGCTCAAACTAGAAGTTAAGAACAACTTTTTTAGAAACTTAGCCACTACTTAATCCTCAAATTACTACCTTGTTTATGTATTTACCACTACCATGGAGTCAATATATTAAGTAATTTTATGTTTCACCTGTTACATTTCCTGATTCTTACTTGTAAACTTAAATAAAATTGGTAATGATCACAATTCATTTACTTTATCTAATTCACAGTATAACAGCTGTTCATAAAATTGATAATATAAAAAGTGCCTAGACCACTACTATGTCTGTAATATCTCAGCTGGTCTGATGAGTACTGGTATTGGGTGAAAGACCCCATTGGCTTTGACTGTGGCAGATGTAGCATGATTAACAAATTATTACATATTTTTCTTTGCTTTCACTTAAAAAATGACCAAATATTGTGTGAAATCACCCATTGCTTGTGCACAAGGAACAGGTGACCCCATCAGTAAATAGTGGAAATAATTGCATTATTAATGGTATATTTGTTTAATTTGTGTGTGTGTGACCCATGTGTTGTAAGAGACCATGTAACTAACAAAATTTTGAACATACAAGCAGTTTAATTCATAAATGGTTCAGAAAAATGTGTTTAAAAGGCCAATGGTTTCCATATGGGTCAAGTTGATAATTGCAGTGCAAGTGAAAGTTGGCCAACTTAGGAAAATGCATATGTATTATATATACCGATCATAATTTTTTATGATTATCACAAAAACAAGTAAATTTTTGAACAATATTTCTCCAAAGGAATCGTATAATTTAATGTAGCTATAGCATTGCATTTTATCTTTCAGTCACTATTGCTTATGTCCCTTTGATAGTCTTGGATTTTAAACTAAAGTTTAAGGAACAGTATCCTTATGTTAAAATTATCTCGTACCTTTAAAAGTTTAACTATAAAAAAAAACAAAAAAACTCACTAATAATTTTCACTAGTTGTGGCTATACAATGAGCTCAGTAAGCATACATTAAAAAATGTTTACACTATCATGCCAAGTAGATTGTCCATTGGGTAAGTTATGATGGTTGCCTATTCAGTACAAGGTATAACATTTGATCTGCTTCTTACGAATGTGCTAAAGGAAACTTGATTAACGTGCGAGTGACTGAGATGATGAAATTTTGTACTGATGGTATTGAAATATGCATAACAGTTCAGTAAGCATTAGGACTTCACTAGTTTTGTTTAGAGTTAACTTACTGATTAAGTATTATTTTATTTCAACTTACAGCTTTTACAATATGGATGAGTTTTTTTGTTTTTTTTTAGAACAGATATGACATTTCAATCATTGGTGTGACCATTCTCAGGTACACAAGTTCTAAAATTAAAATAATTACAACAGTTAGTACCAATACTTGTTAAATTATAGGCAGTTTCCATTGTAAACCTTTTGTAGCATTTGCATTAGAAATTTTATTTTAGTTTCAACCATCATTTTATTTCTAAGCATTTTCATATCTATGTTTCATAATCATGTAAACAGTTTTGATGTACATGCTACTCTTTTTTTTTCAAAGTGTAATTCTCATTACGTAATGTGTTCTTCTGCCAAAGTAGTTACAACCAAATTACTGAATGGCATTTTTGTAACATAAGTTGATGGGAAAAATTTATACTACCACTTGCAAAATATGTGTGATTAAAATGAAGGGAAATACGATTACAGTGCAGTGAAATTTCTGTTTAGTACAATAAGAGTGTAGTCTTGAGTTTTTGTTATATAATATTTAGGGTTAAGTTAGATACAGAGCACAACATATGAATGGTGTGATTATCCCCCAACATTAATGTAGCATTAGTATGATCCAATTCAAATTTATGAAGTGTAGTTATACTAGTTTTGAATGGTTTTAAGAGACCTTAAACGTTTATTTCACATGCACACACACACACACACACACACACACACACACACACACACACACAC